ATTAATATCCCTAGTGACCATACAGAGCCATGTCAAAAAGCATGTAATTTAAATCCCAATAATGATTTCGAAAAATATTTTGGCAGTGAAGCTGGTAGCAGAAGAATACACAAAGAAAAATTGTTCAGTTTTTGACTTGCAGTAGGTTCGAATATAAGCTTTAAAGTGCATTAAAATTAACCGAGCTAAATTCGAGTTTTTGCCATGTAGAAATAAAAATATTCAAGAGAGGCATTCCTTAGATGATATTTCGCTCACTAAAACTATATATGTATTTTGTTTTTAGTTTTTATCCGTATATTGACATAGATAGTCAGGCCACCATTAAGGCTTTCCTTTCACATAAAACAAATTCAATGACCGCCGTGAATTGTAAAAAATTTATAAGTAGGCTAACAGCGGATAACAACGTTCAGCTATATTAGTTTGCAGTGCGCAAGGGTTTGCAGGGGTAATGAGAGAGCTGACGAGCTGGCTAAGGAGGGAGTTCTGTTAAATACCTCATTAGTAACGGATATACCAATTCCTTTCCAGGCGATCACAAGTTCCTAAGATCTGCCTATGTACCGCCAGACGGATAGGCTCTGGCTCGTTTATGTCAGACCTCTTATAGTCAAGCAGCATAACCTAGCCTAACGTAAAGTGCTGTGGCACCTTCAATGTAAACTAAAATTAAGAAGATGCACTCGTTTGAAAGCATTATGATATATATTACGCTGAAACGTGGTATTTTATAGAGTTAAAAATATAAAAAACAAACCGGACGTGACTCCCCAAGAAAGTTGCATGTTCGCGCAGTGTATCCGTGGAACCAATGCCGCATTTAGGATCTATAAGCTTATATGCTCTTTCCTTGCTGTGGGACCCCGGCACCCAAGGGGTTTCTCTAGATTTTTTTGTGAACATAGCCTATGCTTAATAGCTCACAGAAGTACAGCTTAAGTTGGTTAAAGTTAACGCCACGAGCCGATTACGAAATTTCGAATGCGGCTAATTTCGATCCGAGTACTCAGTGTTTGTTCAGAAGTGCGAGCCAAAATGCTTCCATCTTAGCTGCGCGAAGGTTGGACAGTCTTAAAGAAAGTGTGGAGATGATTCCACTTCATCTTCCTCTTGACAGCTGATACAAAAGGATCAGTTGAAATTCCTAGTCTCACCGCATGAATATCAATCGGACAATGGCCTGTCGGAATCCCCATCACTAGCCCTTGAGAGGTAACATGTTTTAAATTGCCTTATTTGCTGCTGCAGAGAAACGTCTTCTTTTCCTTTTTTATGTCACAAAAGGACCCGGTTTCCCTTAGCCTAATAGCAGTTCGTGCTGCGACAATTCTGTCTGTAATAACCGCAGGCGCCGTGTACAACATATGTAGTATGTTAAGCGCCAGTGTAGGTGTGGTTCCTTCCTATTGCTCCGCTAATTCCTGTTATACAAATGTAGCCTTCTCTAGTGAGTTTCACCAGACAAGGGCTCCTTGAAACAATATAGGCTTAAATCTGGTTTCCTAGAGCTAATGAATTAATCCGGGCGAGAGACCCCACATTTCAACGAGCCAGATCAAAAAGGGTGTATAGAAATCGTCCCTTAACCAAAAGTTACACTTCATCTACATAGGCGATCACACGACAGCCCACTTTTTCCAGTTCCAATGTCCTTTACAACCGCAATCCAGAGCACGGGAGAGGGAATACCACGTTGTGGCGTGCTCCTATTGACTCTGCACTGTGTAAAAACGCTCCCCCACTCCGCCGCGGCAGTTCTGTCACGAAGTAAGCTTTAGATAAGCCTTATTAGGTTTTTTTCAACCCCCAGATTATGAATATACTTGACTATTGCCTCTGGAGTGACATTGGTGAAGGGCTCTTCGAGATCGAAGAAGGCCCCTACTGCACAATCTTCATGCGTGAAGGCTTCCTCTGACCACTTTACCAATTAGCATATTGAGCTCTTGAAAGACAGTCACGAGGAATCGCGTTTCTTATGTACAGGTGTATACGTTCTCTCTAGCGTTTTTAGAAAAAGCGTTTTTAGTAAAAACGAAGAGGGGAAATATGAGATCCTTTTTCGGCCTTCGGGATGAACTCAACACTGTCTACTCTCCAAGGCTTTGGATGTTCCCGGTCCTCACGCAGTTCGCATAAATAGGATTCAACCAATTACACGACTCCTTCAGAGCCCTTTGCAGCTGCGAAGGTATATGATGCCATCGTTTCCCGGCGACTTTAATGGCTTGAACGAATTCAACGCCCAGGCCATGTGACGAGTGTCCAGAAGAGCGGTGAACTACGGGACCTGGGAAAGTTTCTGTAACTAGTTAGCGACCATTTTCGAATCGCTATCGCACTTTTTGACGCAAAAACTTTTATATCATATTTGTCGCTTACTGGTTACAGAATCTCCCTCCTGAAGTACAAAATGTCGCAAAGAAGTACATTTGAGTGTACTTCGAGGTACAAAGTACAAGAGCGAAAAAAGAAGTAGTGTACTTCCGAAAGAAGTAGGGTTGGTCACATTACCTATGCTTATAGGGAAAAATTTCGATTAGATTTTTCTATAAAATCTAATAATACATGCTTTGAAAATTTTAAGCCACGATTGAAAACTTTGTTTTTTTAATTTTTCACAAATGTACATACCGTAGCTAAATAAAAATTCAAAAATTCTCTTTTCATTGATTATGATGCATTTCATCAAATTCTTAGTCCCCACATCGTTTTTCAGTAATACACATTTTTAGTTAGTTACGGCTTTTTTGCATTTCAGCGACTATATGAGTTAGGGCCTTTCTATATTATTGTAACGATACATGCATGTGTACAGTGCCGGATATAAGTGTGTATTTGGACACAGAATTTGCCGCAATGTAAGCAAAGTTTTTTACTCTATTAAGTAAAAATATTTTTGAGTTTTATGCACCTTAAAGTCAATTTTATCGAAATAAAATTTATAAGGGAAATAATATGTATGACATTTATTGCCCTATATGGGTGATAAAAATTTTGTTTATTTTTCCGTAAAACACACTGTGACAAGAATTTGTCACAGATAGAGAATAGAGCCGTTAGTTTACTTTTACTTAAAAAAAAGATTTTAACAAGACATCGCCGAATGACCCAGATGTATATCTGTCACTCCAGCAACACTCCCCAAAAACTCTTTGGAGAATTTGTATGTTATTAAAATAACAACAACAACTAACGTATACAAAATACGGTTAGTACTGTAGGGTTACATTTTTAGAGCTTTTAATTTAATTTGTTTTTCTTTTTTAATTAAATTTTTGATTTGCTTTTATAAATAAAAATATTTTTTTTGACAGTTTTCTTTGTTGATTTAGATAATAGGTTTGCTCCACAAGCTACTTGAAATCATTTCGAGTTACACATACGCGTTTCACAAGTAAGTTTTAGAGTTTATTTGATATACGCTGACAGTTTGAACTTTGCTCGAGTTTTGTTTTCATTTTTCCAATACAATTTTTATTTTTTATTGTTTCAAAAAGAAAATTAGGCTTAGTTTTACCTCAACCGAAAAGCCAGCTTGTTATATATTTTTCACTGAAGTGCTTTCTGAAAGAAACAAATTCATATAGAAGCCCAAAAGCTCAAATACAGGTATTGCAGGCGAAACTCGGTTTGAATACTTTAGTCATCGAATGCCTATGTACATACTTTTAATTTAATTAAAATAATAAATACTAAAGAAGACATTATTCTAATCTGGAAAGTATTGCGGTCAAGCTATTGGTAGCTTAAATGTTTTCGACTTAAAGTAGAAAGCAGTGCTTCAAAAAAAGTATTCTAGGCAGAAAGCCGCATTTGCTTTTATGCCTGCAAATCGAGCTGTATGCGCCTATGTGTACGGAATACTAATTAAATGATTCTTTGCTATGTGCTTGTGCCACGAGCAGTATGATTAATTGCCATTAAAATGCGGATAGAAAGAAAAACCCAAGAGAAAAAGAAGTATAATGAAAACTAGTAAGCAAAAATAGCGGTAAGAATGCAGTTTGGTCGACGCTGATCGAGTAGTTACCACCCTCACAACTACATACGTACATACGTATGTACATACACACTAATATGTACGCGCAGCTAGCCGGCAGTTCAACGACAAAACTGCGCATGCGTCACTTGCATGCCTAGTACGTACAGTGAATAGACATGGCGCGCGAAGTCTAGTATGTAAGCATGTATGTACAGATAATTTGGCTTCAACTTCTGTTCGTTGTGCGAAAATGGCCACAAAAGCGAAAAGTCAACATTTGTAGCAAACCGCTTGTAGATTTAAGCCACAATGATGGCTGCTATGAAAACTGCAGAATAGCAAAAGTAGCATAGGTAAAGTGAAACGGCAAAACTACAACCACAACAGTTAAAACGGCACCAGCTGTTGGCTACAAAGCACCAATTAGCTATTAGCCGCTGCTGACGCTTGCGTACAACAATCTCAGTGTTGGCGTCGTCGTCGTCGTCGTCGTCGGTGTCGGCGTCGGTGTCGACAACTTTTCTACACAACTCTCGCACAGCGTACATGTTGTAGTTGTAGATTTTACAACTTACATTTTGCGTCTGCTTTCGCGCCTTATTTCCAAAACAACGAAAATGAAATTTAAGTCTCAGCAATTCATTATATGAATTTTTATTTTATCTTTATTTTTCTTGCTTGCTTCAACGGCAAACGGCTCATACTCATGCTTTACAAGAGCGCAAACGCTTGCACCGCTCTGCAATTGATCATTTTTGAAGACGAAAAAATTACCTTCACTCTATTCTCGCCCTCTGCAATGGCAACTGCTGTCTCCGAGAGGATAACTTCGACGTTAACGTAGACGACATCAGCGCCGCTAGCAGAGGCTTTCAACGGCAGCGAAAATTTTTCTTACATTGGCTAGTGGCTGTTATTGACGTGCTTTGTCTCGAGACTTCGGTAGGAGCAAGCGCGAAGGTGGTTGGGCGAATGGCGGGCGCAGACGTGGCGGACGTTGGTGCGCAGCCGTACGCGTGCGCACGCTACACATGGCCCGGTATAAAAAGCGAATGTACGTCAACGTACCACACATAGTCGATACCAGTGGTTCCTTGTCAGACGTTGTGCATATCAACGGTATTTTTGAAAAATCAAGCGAAGCAAAGCGAGAAAGGAAATTCCATTTTCTTACTTAACGGAATATACTCTAAAGATATATAATCCAAAAACGCTTGTAAAAGTAGAAAAAAAAGAAATTTCAAATTAACAAAATGAATAAGTTTTTGTTTGTTTTCGTTGCCCTGTTTGGAGCCGGTATGTACAAAAAATGGTTATTTTTATATTAAATCAAGTGATCAGAAATAATAAAAAAAAACAATGATATGGAAAATAAGTATCCAAACACTTAAATTTTCATGAGAAATTGAAGAAAAAGCGGAACAATTGCAAAATAGAGCATAAACATGCGTGTTCAAAATACTAAATATATGCAAAAATGTTTGTTAGTGCTTTAAGTGTTTCGTGCCAAGCGAGGATAATGGACATTTTGGTGACAACCATGTATATGTACTATATGGTTTCAAAAAATGCAAATGTGAAAATATCTACCTTGCAATAAAATTAAATTACGTAAACACGTAAACCTTGCCAAATATTTTGAGTGGTTTCATTAGTTCCTCTCAAACTATGTAGCAGTAGCAAAATTTTCATTGTATACTGGAATATGTTTATGTGCATGTGGCTTATGGGAATTTCGTAAAAAAAAAAATAAGACAAAAAATAAAAAAAGTTAACTTTCATGTCAAATTTAATAATTTTCCATTTTCGATTTTGCCCCTTATAGGGTTAACAAATTGCTGGAAAGTCCGAAACAAAAAATTTTTTTACGTACAAAATTTGCTTAGTAATTTTGATCAGGTTTCCCAGCCAGCTTCAAAATACCAAAATAAGAGATTCACAAAAAAATGTTTTTCATTTGCTTACCATAATGTAAAAGGCTATACATGTTGTCCTTAAGGAAGTAAAGTTAAACAACAGAGCACACTGAATATACTTCGAGGAATTTTTTATTTCATAACAACCCTGCAAACCATCCTTTCCAAGTAATCTAAATATATGGTGATCCATCGAGACATTTTTTTTTTTAATTTTAAATAAAAAATTTAAAACAGAAATGAACGTCGGAATCTTAATTATCGCCAGAAAGAAGAATCTTTGACATTTTCATTTTAAAAATAATTTCATAAAAATTTTGGCCGCGACTTCGCTGTAGGTGGTCCATTCGGAAGGCTCCAAAGTTTTGAATCTTAGCTGGCTTATCAACAAATATAACCCAAAGACAAAATCCAGAGGTGTTATATCACACGAAAACTTGCTGTGAAGTAATGCTGCGATGTGACGATTTTTTTTTTTGAATTCTCTTTAAGAAATCGTACAGAAATTTTTTTACGAGTTGGTGTCAATCACTTCATATAATTTTCTTTGAAGGTTCGTTACAGAATTGGGAACACACTTCCTATACTTGTAAACATTTCGTTAAGGTTTTGGAAATTTTGGTTTGCAGGGAATGTTTTGTTTATGTAATTTTACGCTAAAGAAAAATCCAAAGCGCATTAATATATGTAAAAAATCCCGTGTTTTTTGTTATTGATTTTTGTTACTTAAGGATGCCAAAACGAAGCAAAATAGCAGATAATTTTCGTCATTTCGTTTTGTTGATATCATAGAGTTACGCCATTGCGTCTTGGATGATATTCTGCTGTACTAGTATTTAGAAAAAAATCGAATCAGCTGTTCTTGTATATATGCACCTTGGCAAAATCATTCAAATATTGCCCACGGCCCGATTTACATTTAATTTGCTATGAAATTTTCATATGATTCGCGTTATAAATCGGTTATTACTTGGCGTATCTTGGATTTCTCAATTTCTCCAAAGATATAAGATTATTCGCACAAGCGCGAGAAATCCAAAAGCGTTAAATCCTAGGATCTTGGTGGCCAAGTTACATCGCTGATTATTGAAATCACGATTCCAGGGAATTTTTCGTGCAATAGAGCCATAACTGTCGGCATTGTGTGGCATGTAGCCCCGCCTTATCATCTAGATCAAAATCTTTAATTTCTAGCTAAAAAAAATTCTTTACTGACGGCGACTAAACATTTATGTTAACGGCTGCTACTTCATCGGAAGTAGGCTATGCTTTCAAATGTATGAGCAATGATCGAACTATTCGAATTCCTTCATGGCAAGAAGAAGACTCCCAAGTTAGGAGGAGTATAACATTTTATGTTACTCACTAACTCAGAGCAGTCAAATGTATATGGAGTGAAAGTATGGTACTTTCCGCCCTTCTAAGCCTAGCCTAACCGAGTACATAATACCAAAAATTTCCAGTTTTGATTTAATGTCAGATATTATGCCAAAAAGTCATACTACTGATTTAAAACTGCTAAAGGCTTTTAGTTATTGGGAGCTATCACCACCAAGAGGCTTCGCCTAGACTTCCAAGATTTATACAAACATAAAATTTGATGGCTTGGCTTTAAGTCCAGTCACCTTGGCCGGTAAACGTAGGAGACCATTAAAATCAGAAATTCAATAACCACCGCACGCGCACTGAGAAAAGAGTTTAGTTACATCAACTAAATATGTTTCTCTCAACTAAATATGTTTCTCTCAACACAAGGTTTGGAAGATATAATAGAGACGAAGTACCTCAAAGTAATGACTTAACCCCTTTTAGCGCTTTACGTTATTTATGTTTCAACTTGTTTCTAAACAAATATTGCTTCGAAATCTCTTGTGAATTTATTTAGGTATAAGGTATCTGCTTCTGATTGAGGACTTTGGTCAGAGGCGCTTCTGAAAAAAATGGCTCACTCCTCTTCTGCACTGATGGTTCAAAACTATAGGAACCGGGTAGAAGTTGGAGTCCTCTCAGCACAGTTGCAGCTTGAAAAATTATTTCGTCTACCCATTTACTTTGTTGTCTTTTAAGCTGAAGTTGCTGCATTTCAGAAGGCGGTTGACACTTATAAATAAGAGAAGGCACGTGTAACAACATCTTCATTTACTCACTCAGTAAAAACGGCACTTAAAGCACTTAGCAAAATTCAATTCAAAAACCGTAGCGTACTATCGCAAATCTTTAAACGGGATGGCTGAGCAAATTTAAATGATGTTTCCACGGCAAGTGATTCGCTCTCCCATTCGTAATTCGCTCTCTCATTCGTAATTGGCGCCCCAATTATGAATTTAGTTATCAGAGTTGCCAACGAAATAAATTTTAATAACTTTCTTCTCTTCATTCAATGTCTTGAACAATAATCTGGTTCGGTGTTGAATCTGTACAATGTTTTATATTCTGATCGGCGAAAGGTCTACGGACACTGAAAGTACAATGTCGAAGAATTCAAACTATTTTCGAACCAATCGAACCATATTTGCAAATTCAAACTTCATATCGATTCATATTCGACCGAAAGAAAATTAGTCCAACATTTTTTCAACAGCCGGCAGAGAGTACACGGACAAAAAAATTGAACCAATTCGAGGAAAATGAAACTCCTGATGATAAGACTGACTTTATATTTTGAACCAAAATTTCTTCATTTAGTTTTCAAATCCGGCAACTTTTAATAGAACCGGCAATAATTTACAACATTCTCTAACCTAACCTAACCTACATAAATAATTGTTTAGCATTGATACAATTTTGAACTTGGGCAAACATTTCAATTGTAATATAAAGGTCAAAATAAAAGAAATAAAAAAAATTGACTATACAATTTTTTTCGAATTTCCTTGAGCACAGACAAACACAACAAAAAAGACAGCTCACGTAGGACAATCGATTCTAGAGCTATGCTTGGTATTACGGAAGCAACTTTGTTTTATACATATATATATACATAGAGAGATTTAAATTTTCAAATAGTTGGAAATTTCTCTTCAAAATTGTTACTTTAGGTTAACAGTGCATTTAAATGCCTTGCAATCCCTGAATACGTTGCAATATTTTACTCGATATATTTTTTGGGTCACTAATATTTTAAGCAGGTGGCAATTCTATTAAAAAGTTTTTATTTTTCACCTCAACCAGTGGAGATGTTCTTTAAAAATTATGTTTCAATCATTTAATTTGATGGAGTATTATGGAAGATATGGCGAAGGGAAATTCTGTGCTTGTTTCTAAAAATGTATGGCAGAAAAATCATCTTCTCTGCCCTCTGCAGGACTGAATGTAAAATCAAACATCCTTTGCACTTTAGGAGAGCAAAATTTTTTGGAATAAACGAAAATAACGTTATATATAAAGGCTTTATATTTCAATTTAATAGCTTTTTTTCTCTCTCTCGTTATTTAAAATATTACCTTTTTCCTAAATGGTAAGTAGTTCGATGTAACTTAGGAAGGCTTTCACATAGTTATGCAAAACTATCTTCAAAAGTGCTTCTTTATAAATACATATACTTATGTACGTAAGCTTATAAATATATGTACATACATACAAACATTTATAAATTCATCTGGTACATGCACATAAATATATAGTATGTATTGTAGCAAATACGCAAACGTGCGTGTAATTGAATGCTCCAGATTTTTGAGATTTTTGCAGTCAGAAAAGCAAAGCTAAATGTGAAAAAAATTCAATTTAATATAAAAGCGCAACTAATGTGAAAATGCAAAAGTGCATGAAAAATATGAGTTAAGTCACAGGTATAGCAGAAGCATAAGCGCAAAATATTGCAACTGAGCGTTTGGTAAAATTAGAAAATAAGAAATCATGTCGAATATGCAATCAAAATCGAAAGCAAGTATGCAATTCTTGATATTTTTTTCCTGGAAAGCAGCAATTTTACACCTGCCAGGTTGGCTTTTAATGTTGCTGCCACTGTTGAGTTCATATATAAAGATGTATGTATTTAGAATGTGTGGACATTCTGATTCTTTGAAAGTCGCGTTATTTATTTTATTCTACATTTTTTTCTTCTTGCTCCCCTATGAATATAATAAAATTGTAACAAACCCATGTATGTACATTATAGAAATTAAAGAAAAATTTATATATGGGGTCATTATTACAGCAATAGAAGCCAAATTAAAATTTTTTTAAATTTTTCTCAGTCTGCATGAAATTGAATGGAGTTTCCACCGTTGTATTGCTAGAGATCAAACTAAAAATATGGAAAAAAATCAGAGAGTTGCTACTTGTTTCAAAGTTGCATTTCAAATAAATTGATAAGATAAAACAAATATTGTAGTACGGCTGTAAAAGGAAAGACGTTTAAGAAAGCGTACGACTGAA